CAAACGGTAAAATAAAAGTAGTATAAATTATTTAAATAAAAGAAAGTAGTAGTTTAATGATATTCGTCATAGTATTACGCGTATCTGGTACGTTTTCACGTGACCATGGTGATAATCACCATGGGTTATTTTGATTATAATTCTAAATAAAATATAAAAATATATTTTATATTATTCAAACTCAAACTAGTTTGCAAACTTCAAATCAAATCCAAATCAAATTTATAAATAAGATTTAGTTTAGTTTGAGTTTGTAAAAAATAGATTTGAGTTTAGTTTGAGTTCAAAATTGATAAAATTTTAAAGTTTAATTTGGTTTGAGTTTGAAGTTTGATCAAATCAAATTCAAACCAAATCAAATCTAGGAGCACTAGTTTTCATTACATAAAACTTTTAAATAGACTCAGCTAGCTAGCTTTTTTAAAAAATTTAATATTGTAATTTGGGTAAAATGTATGCCTTAAAATCCCTACTCATTAGAGTAAACTGATAACAGTTTGCATAATATTAGCAATACTAATATATTACTTTAAAAGAGGACGTTCGATTTGGTAGAGCCAAAGTATATATTTTATTAGGTGTATGCTTTATTTGGATATATGTGAGATGTCCTTTATATTGTAATAAATACTACTCTTTTATACTATAACTATATGTGCCGAATGTGCTATATGTTCTAATTGTATCAAATATCTCAAATGTACTGACTATCCTAAATGTACCACTAATACTATCTATAGAAATGTGCTAACCTAAATAGTTATACAAGCGATCGCAGTTATGATCATAACTGTCAATTCTATTTTTACTTATGATATTTCTTTTCTACTTAGCTTGTTCATTTCACGAACTATAATAGACCTCGAAAATTACCTGCTTTTAAAGTTCTAAGATCTGTTAGGGTCAATTTCTTGGTTCTGTATGCTTGTTCTATTCCATATATCTCGAATAACCAGTACGTTCTTTTTGCAATGGTGTAATAGTATTTAGTAAACTTTTTCTTACATTCAGTTTGCTGTTTTGGCTTTGCTTTGTCTATCAGTTTTCCCAAGTAAAAACTGTAAACTAGACTTCCAATATGATTTTTGAGCTTAATATATACCGATAAATTATTTCAACTTTTTTTTGTAATGTTTGGCTTTCATTGTATGGTAGCAGCATAGTCAAATTCTCACGTGGGTGTATTTCCAATAGATCGTTGATTATTTTGTTCATCATATGCATCATCATTAATACTGAAAATTTAAAGTTTTTTTTTTTTTTTTGATATAAAAAGAAAAATTTAAATTAATTTCCCTTTTCATTATTTCTTTCTTATTCTCTTCTCTCCTTATTCCAAACCTTCTTCTTTTTCTTTCGCTCTATTTTTTTCTTTTTATTAATTTCTTTTTTGCTTTTCTCTTTTCCTTTTTTTTTTTTTTGAAGTTTTTATTGCTTTTTTTTTTTTTGATTTATTTAATCGATCCTCTCCTTATTCTATGCCTTCTTCTTTCTTCCAAACACCTTCTTCGTTTCATCGTCTCTTAAACTGCTTATTACATTGGGTTTCAGGTATCTTTTTAGTTGTGCTTTGTTGGTGGAAGACTTAAGAACTTTCTTATCCAACGTTCATAATTTATAAGACTCGTTAATTAAAACATTATATATGAAAAATACACCTTTGCATTTTGGGTTTAGTTTGTGGCTACGGAACATCTGGTGAGCTGCATCGAACAATAAAACCTTTTCACCTATTTGATATTCAGATGTAACATTTATGCGTCAATTGTATTGTTCTTTTTGTTTCACTTATGTCGATTGTATCTGTTTCAGTGCCTTGTTTCGTTGACCAGGTACTTTGTTTAATAAGTTAAAAGTTCTCTAAATAATGGTTCTATTTAATATATCAGGAGCATTACTTGGGTGCAGGGGCAAACGGGCCTCTCTTCCATATACTAGAAAAAACAGAGTTATTCTTGTTGAACTTTGTTTTGCTGTATGGTATAAAAATAATATTGGCTGAATAAATTGATCCTATTCTGTAACATTTTGTATTGTCTTTGCCAATGATTCACATAGTGTTTTATTGTATTGCTTAACAAGGCCATTGCTTTGCAGATAGTAGGGGGTCGACAGTTTGTGTGCTATTTGAAATTTCTTTAACAGTGCTGTGATTAATTCATTTCTAAAGTGTGTACCTCGGTTTGATGCTAAGTATTGTGGGCAACCATGCTTGCAGATTATTTCTTTGTATATGAATTCTGCAACTTCAATTGCATTATCTTTTTCCAGTGCTCTTGCTTTAGGCCACTTCAACATATAGTCAGTGGCCACGACTATATATCTTTTATTCTGGGCATTATAGACAAAGGCTCTACGATGTCGATGCCAATTCGGTAGAATGGTGAGTTCACTTGGATAGGGTGGAGCAGTTCTTGAAGTTTGTTTTTCCTGACGTTGGCATAAATCGCACGTACGTACATATTCTTTGATTGCTTCAAACATTTGAAGCCAAAAATAATATCTTCTAATTTTTTTGAACATTGTAGCTTGACCCATGTGTCCTCCAGTTAGATGGTTGTGTGCTAAAAATAATATAGGTTCAATTTCAAACGTTTGCATGACTTTTAACCAATTGTCTTTTTCTCATCGGTCTTTTTGGTATAATATATTTTCTTTCATTTTAAAGAACTTGGACTTTAAAATTATGCATTGTCATTCTTGCTTATTCATGCTTTATAATAATTGTTGATTTATTATATAGCGCTGTAATTGATGGTAATGTGTTGAGTCCATATTTCTTTATTAAAAACTAATTTGAAAAAGTTAAACCTAATTATTTTAAAAAAATTTTTTTTTTAAATTTGAGCGATACTAATTTAACAAATTATTGCTAAGTTATATTGCTGGAAAAATTAAGTATTATGAAACTTGGGTAAATAAAAATTCAAATGTTCGTTTAGAATAAAACTTAATGAAAAAAAAAAAAATTTGTAGGTATAAGAATAAGTTCACTTATTTGAGTGAGAATGTGATTTCTAAGAACTGTAAGACTAAAAATTTGATAATAAGAATGTAGTGCTAAAAAAAATCTTGAGTATATGTTAAAAGAAAAAAAAAGTTTCTGCTTTTTTTTTTTTTTTTCAAATATTATTATTTCTTCTTTGGGTGCCAGGACACTGGTTATCTGGACTGTATTGGGTTCAGATTTTTTTTTTTTTTTTTTTGTCTTGCTTATTTAAATGCGGAAAAGAGTATCTGCATTAGAGTGTTTTCTTCTGGGGCAGTGTTCAATGTTGTAATTATATGGTTGTAAATGAAGAATCTAGCGAGCACAACAGCCTTTCAGTTTTGAAGTTTCTAACTACTTTAATGCTGAATGATCGATTATGACTATAAATAGCCTATAGCCAAAATAGTGGTAGAAATGTTCAATTGCCCAGATAATAGCGAGACATTCTTGTTCTATTGTAGAATAGTTATGTTCTGGCCTTGTAAAACTTCTTGATATATAAGAGACAATATATTCTTTTTGATCGTCACCGACTTGGGCCAAAACAGCATCTAAGCCTACTCCCAAGGCATCGGTATGCAGAAAAAATCATTGTTCGAAATCCAAATAATGCAGGATTGGGGCCAAAATTAAGTGTCATTTGAAAGTGTTAAAAGATTGCTGTTGATCATTAGTCCAATTGTATTGTTTGTCTTTTTGAAGTAAATGATGCAGGGGCTTTGCAATTGTTGCAAAATTTTTTATAAATTTGCGGTAATATGATGATAGATCCAAAAAACTATGTAATTGTCGTATGTTGTGGGGTACTGGGAAATTTTGAACCTTTTCTACTTTAGCTTTGTCAGGTTAAATTCTATCTTTGCCAACTATGTGGCCCAAAAAATATAGATTTTGCAAAAAAAATTGGCACTTTTCTAAATTCAATTTAAAACCTGCATTGCTGATTAACTGAAAAACTTGATTCAAGTGATTAATATATTCAGACAAGGTATAAGAATAAATATTAATATCATCGAGATATACTGCGACGAATTTACCAATGAAGAGATCCAGAATTCTATCTATTAGTCTCTGAAACATTGCCAGAGCGTTACAGAGACCGAAGAGTATGACTGTGAATTTGAAAGTTCTATATTTTATAACAAAAGCCATTTTTTCTTAGCCATTTGGACCTGCCAGTAACCACTGGCAAGGTCCAAGCTACTAAACCATTTAGCACTACCGAAAGCTTCTAAAAAATTGTTGATGTGTGGAATAGAGTATGCATCTTTTTTTGTTACTTTGCTCAAACACCTATAATCAACACACATCCTTAATTTGTCGTTTTTTTCCAGCACCAATACTATAAGTGATGCCTATAAACTGAATGATTCCTTAATTAAGCTAGTTTCTCTAACTCTTTACATACAAAATCTTGCTCATTTGGGGCCAATCGATATGATGGTTGCTTAATAGGATCGGTGTCTTGAGTCTTGATTACATGTTTCACAAGGTTTGTCTATTCAAATTCTTTTAGTCCATTTGCAAATAAGTTCTTATTGTTCTTAAATAACTCTTTTATACTTTCTTTGTATTTTTCTTCAATATTTGTATTGTCAATGATCATATTTAATTGTTCTTCTATTGTTGGTTTTTCATCAACAGGGGCCTTTTGTCCAGTCGGGATTTCTTCCATTACCACCAAACATACTGCTGGACTTTCGATCTCTATTAATTTTGTATCCTTTTTTATTTCTAACATATTTTCTTCATCAGATGAGATACAATCGGACAAGAAACTTTTGAGCTCTTTCAACTCTTTGCTTTTGTATTCAAGTTCATCAAATATTTTGTCGACGTCGTCTTCGTAGTGGTCACATGATTCATCTATTACTGGTATTTGTTCTTTTTGCTTTCCTTTATCTGTATGCATAATTAGAACTTCAAACCTTCTTTCTAAATATCTAATGACTAATTTTTGCTTGTCAAAGTCCAACATGGCTCTAGCTTTCTGGAACTAGTTGGTTCCTAATAATAAAGTTTCATCGACTGATTCCAATACTTGTAGTGCGGTAGGTATTTTTATATTTGAAAAGCATGGCGAACATTCGATTTGATTGGCTTGAAGATCACTGAGTTACACAACATAAATAAAAATTTTTAAAGTAACCTTTACTATGAAAAACCACATTGTCAATTGGCAACTTATGGTTTTATACAATAATTTTTTTTTAAAAACATCTTAAAGTATTTTTTACCTCTTCATACGTCTTTAGTGAAAAAAGATCAGTATAGATCAGTATCTCTAAAGACTTTGCTTAGAGAGCAAATTTAGGCAATGAATGAGGTAATAAGAGGTAATAAGCTTTCAAATTCGAAAAAAAATTAAGAAAAAGTGATGCCACCAGATTGAGTAAACTTAATCTTATCAGTATTAGAGCAAGGAGGAAAACTTTGGCCGCCTTAATACTACTAAGATAAGATTAATGTAACTATTATGGAAGGTACGTTTTAACCTTCTTTTCGTCTTTCTCAACTCTAATGCAAACTAAACTATTGCAGTAATGAATGAGTTTATTATTGGAATTTTATAGTAACTTTCTCAACAGAAATTACGATAATTCCAACATAGACTGATATTACCAGAGTGTTGAGTAAGTTTTGTAACAGACTTTTTTACAGCAATTCATAACAAGAATCACGATAATTCTAATTGTATGTTAAAAATCATGATTGCCGGAATAGCAAGATCAGTAGCAAAATTTTTACTTAACTCATTATAGAAATTTCAATAATTCCAATGCAAACTAACTTAATCTTTAACAAATACATTGCAATAGGTTTTATAGCAACTTTCGACGAATCCATATTATTTCACTAACAATCACTTTATAGACACTATATTTCACCGACAAGTTCATTTTACTGATACCGAAGCTCATTTAATACTAACTTTAACTTTAATTCTAGCCTAACTCTAATGTTATTGACCAGAATTGTTTGTTTGTAAAATAGGCTTTAGTGAAATAAACTGTCAGTAAAATGAACTTGTTGGTGGTGTCTAATAAAATGATTATCAGTGAGTTGATCGGATCCCCTATCCTATTCACCCACCCAATTGTAAAGACAGATAGAGACCTAACTATCCACCGCCTATAGACCTAACCATTTACTTATCTGCCTGTAAAGACACCTATCTATCTACTGGAATACAAAGAAAGAATACACAAATGACAAAGATAAAAGAAAAAAAGAAAACCAACGGACAAAGAAGAAAAAACTAAAATGAAAGAATGTAAAAAAGAATAGTGGATGAAAAAAGTGAACATAAATACAGTAAGTTAAAAGAATAGTTTAAAAAATTAACTTAATTAAATAAAAAGATAAAAAAAAAAAAAAGAGTTAATCGATATACGTATTATTAATTTAAGAATGATACTAACTAGAATTCACTACAGGTGATTATCACCTGTGATTAAGTTACACAGGTTAATATATATAAGTATCATTTTTTTTTTAAATTGGTTTTGGTTATGCATACTTATTCTTATTGCTACTGATAATATGTCAATGTTGATGATGTCGTAGGTGCTGTTGTTGCTGGTGCTTTTCAGTTGCCGTTGGTGCTTTTCAGTCGTCAGTTTCGCTATTACTGGTGCTTTTAGGTCACCGTTACTGGTGTTTTTCAATCGTCGTTGGTCGCTATAATTTCATCGTGGTGCCATACATTTTTCTGTTATGGGTTGTGCTTTTTTTATAGCTTTGTCATCTTTGGGTGTTTTCAGCTTTGGTTTCGTCAGTATAGCTATTGATAATTAGTTATTTCGTTTCGTCAATTGTATAGTTTTGTGGCTCTACTGTTGCTAGCACTACTGTTTCGTTGTTCTGGCCTTGTCGGTGCTACGTTGCTATTGGTAGTTTCTTTTTCAATTCTTTTTTTTTTTCTGGTGGTTCACGGCTCTGTCGTGCTATAGGCACTAAAATTGCTAATATGTGCAAATTAATAATTTCAGGGGCGGACTTCAGTCAAGCGCAACTTCAGTTGGGTATCAACTCTAGGCATGATAGCTCCGTTATAATTAACGTGTTCCATGTTGAATTCTCATTTTATCATTGTATCATTTCGTAGTTTTGTCACTAGTTCAGTATCGTGATTCTATCATTATAAGCTTCCGGTTTGGTAGTAGACTTTTTGTTGGTATGGTTTCATGACTTGCTTTTTCTACAAAATTATATATTTGGGCAATTATTTTTGAATTCAGACCAAAATATTATAAAATTATATATAAATTGGTCCGAGTTCAAAAATAATTACCCATTTGATGTGCAATTATTTATTATACTATGTTTATGTTTATCTATTTAGTAGATTATTAAATCAAGTAAAAAGAAGCTATTGAATTGGGAGCATACTATTTATAATTGCCATGCTACAATAATTTAGCAATCGTTATATGGGATCTTTGCTAGGAAAATCACCCTTCGGGATTTTCCAATCAGGCTAATTAGACCAGAATGTCGGTTCTTATTCATATGTAAAACATCTTTGATTCGACAGTTTATTTTATAAACTATCGAATAAATAAAGCAAAAGGTGATTTACATATGAAAAAGAACTGGCATTCTGGTCTAAGATTTTCCGAATTAGCCTGATCGGAAAACCTGAATGGTGATTTTCCTAGCAAAGATCCCATACATCTTCATGTATGTATAGTACGTGCCTAAAGAGAAAAAAGACAATTTCACTAGCAACTGTTTTGCAGACAAAGTTGACTGATTTAAGTTAGGATTGGCCTGAGACCTTATACACCTGGCTACAGTAAATTTTTAGTACTGTACGGTCATTCTTTTCATCTTGAGTTTTGTATCCCAAAACATTTCAGATTAGGTTTATTTCTTTTTTTCTGTTCTTTGTTCATTTTCATTCTATTTCGCTACTGTTTGAAGATGATAGGCAGCATGGTCTTGGATTCTGTAATGCTGTATTGTCTTGGGTTCTGCTATGAATATGGCATAGCATAACTAATTATAAAAATAGACATTTGAGAAGTTTGTTGAAGGCGACAATGAGTAATGTAGTCTTGGATTTGTTGAAGGCTACAATTCCGATAGCTAGTGTAGTCTTTGACCTGTTATAAAAATGGTTTAGGCACAGCTAATAACGAAGAATAGGCGTGTGAGTGTTATTTGAAGCCTGTTGAAAGCAACAATGCCAATGGATAGTATAATCTTTGACTTGTTACTTCGCTAAAATCATTCATTTATGCAATAGCAACAAAATATTCTAGATATAGTGCATATTATTAATAATATTGGTTACCAAGAAGAAATTTTCATAACAAATTGCAAATTTAGCTTTGACTGAGTATGAAAATCAGTAATTTTCTATACTCTATCAAAAACTTCGTTAAAGCCTCTTTAGTGCTAGTAAAAAACTAAATTTGTGATTTGCTATGAAAATTTCCTCTTGGCAACCTATATTATACCTATATTATTAATATTATACACTAGATCTAGAATATTTTGCCGCTATTGCACAATTTTAGCAAAGTATGAAAATGGTTTAGGCATAGCTAATGAAGAATAGACGTCTGAGTAGCATTTGAAGCCTGTTGAAAGCAACAATTCCGATGGCCAGTATAGCCTTTGACTTGTTATGAAAATGGTTTAGGCACAGCTGATGATGAAGAATAGGCATCTGAGTGGTATTTGAAGCCTGTTGAAGGCAACAATTCCAATGGCCAGTATAATCTTGGACTCTGCTATTGAAATTTGTTGAAGATGGCAATTGTAGTCTTGGATTCGTTATAAAATGGCATCTGCTAATGATGCATTTGAAATCTGCTGAAGACAACAATTTTGATAACCAGTGTAGTTTAGGATTCTTTGACTTTTGATTCATATCAGTAATGCGTTTAACCCATATTTTTCATGATCTAATTCATTTTTTCGATATAGAATTTTAGGCAAAATCATGTATTCTAATCTGAGAATCTTGATCAGTCGAAAATCATTATTAATACATATTTGGATTTTAAAGTATTAAATTAATTTTATTAGGGTTAGGATGAGAGTAGATATTATTGGCATTGTAATTATTTTAGAACTACCTGAATTACCGGGTTAAGTTTTTTTTAATAAATTTTTCTTAATTATTATCATATACAAATATAGTGTTTAACATTATAGACAGACATTTATCTGATTGGCTATATAAATTAATATAGTTTAAGAATACAATTGCATAAGACATTTCTAACTTCGAAAGCTCACTGTGCAAAAATAATCAGTAAACCTATTTAGAGACACTATTTATTGTACTAGACATATGTAAGTTCTAATGCTAAAAGCTGTCAACAAAAAAAAGAAGATTGAGACGTTATATGTAAAATCTAATCTAAAGAACTTATCTATACTATATATTTAACATATTATTACAGCAAAAAGCTTATACTAATACTCTTGTTTTGTGTATGTATTAGTAACTTTGCCAATAATTTATTCACATATTAACTCTTTGTATGCTTCTATTTTCTAATACGTATATAGTTTATAAAATGATCTACATATTGTTTACTTGTTTACATTTTTTAACCAATCAAATCGAATGTCCACCATGCTGATTTGAATTTGATTTGATCAAATCAAATTCAAATCAAATCAAATTTATTTGTAATTTTATTAAATATTTTCAAATCGAATTGAATATTTTATTAATTTGAATTTGATTTAATTTGAAATTTCTGTATTTGAATTTGATTTGAGATCAAATATTTGATCAAATCAAATTTAATCAAATCAAATTGCGGAACTCTACTACAGATAATAATGTTTTATCAAATTTTATTCACACTTTTATTTTGTTCAATATAATTTAAAATCTTTTTGGCATATCTTTGATTATTGTATCTTCTTGTTGAGTTTGATCATTGGCTTTTTCTAAAATAAATCTAGGAAACTCTCTCTATTTGAAAGCAGGTCATTGATTTTATTGCTTTCAAAGTTGGAATATAAATTTCTTTTACACTTTAATATTTTTGTTGAGATTTACACTAGTATATATTGTATAAACAGTTTAGTAATATTATTTATATATGCTAATAATATAAAATATAGGTAAAATAATCATAAGTGAATAAAAAAAAAATCCAGCAATACCATATTATAAATATGGCCGATTAGTTAGTTAATGTCATCTCTCCTCTTGATCCAAAATTAAACAAACCAATCACAACACAGCAAAGACTTCATTAATAACAGATAATGTGATCAAAATTAATCAATAAAATTTATTTAATGAATATTGTTGAATATGGTATATTCCACAGAATAATAGTAAAATCACATGGCCCTCTGCCTTATAGTTTATTATTATTCTGTGAAATACACTGTGTTTACCAATATTTATAAAATAACTAGTTTATCCCATGAGTATGATATAACAACCTGTACAATGTGTATTTATTAGTTAGATCGATTTACTTTTAACTTGAATAATTTTTTTTTTTGGGTGAAAGAAAAAACCTATCACTATTTTTACTAAAGAAAAAGCTCTTGAATTATGACAAATCTTGCACATAGAGAACACTGATAAGTGTACCTCAAAGTGGTGTTACATAGAAATTATTCTCAATATCTCTATGATCTTTGTATGTATTACTATAGGATATTCAGGGACAAAAAAGGACTTATCTCTGTTATTGTTGATGAATATAATATGCATATCAACAACTAAAAAAAAACTTGATTACTGTCACATATTAATACCATAGTGAACTTCATCTGAACTCCCAAACTGATTGATTGTTAATGATTAATAATCAACTACCCACGACTTTCGTATCTTTGCTCCATATGTATTACTATATATATATTAACTATCTAATCAGTTAATATCATATATATCACTACCAGTTGCTAAATCGGTCTTTATAGTGATGGTGTGAATATTAAATTAATGCATGTCATGACATTAATAGAAGTTCTGAAAGAGCCTAATAACTACTATATCAACAATCATGTTATGGAATTAGCTTTATTATTATTTTCACTCGAATAAAACAGTTATATCTAGTCTGTGCCATCCATGTAGATAAACAAGAAATGAACAAACTTGGGCTAAGGTAGCTGAGAACATAAAGTATTATCAACAATTGTGACGGGTTAAAGTCCATTAAAAACAAAAACCTAAAGAATATATAGCGATATTGATAAGAGAATTGGAGTTGAAAAGAATAATCTTTAATTAATAAATTGATAGATAGCTTTTAAATTCATCTACTGTAATAAATTATATAGTCACGTTTATTATTTAAAGGCTATGAGTTTGCCTTGGTATAAGTTCTTTAGTCTTCAACACTCTTTAATAACTATATATCTTCATATATAGTTTCCTTAATAGAATAGCTTTGAATTCTCTACTGTATTTCTTTTAACTGTCTCTATATAGTTATTTTTTCTTTGTTAATAATAAACTTGTACATGTCTTTATATATATTGAACTTATAAAGCTTGTATTTACAAGTGACTCATGATCTTTGAGTATTGTCAGAATCATGTGAGACTCGTGATTCTTTATTCTTGTAGTAACCACATGTGACTTGTGGTAATTAAGTTATTTCAGCCTTATATATCTTCATATATGTCTAGTTATTAGCCTCTTTCGACAAAGCCTTATTAAAACCTTTGCCTAAGTTGTTGTATCAATACATCTTTAACCCAGCCAAATCATTATTTATTAGTCTGTAATAGACTAACTTATAAGTTCTCGAAATCATTCTTAAAAGTCAATTTCAAGTGTAATAGTGGTTATGTTTAGTTGACAGATTTAGTGAAAATATAAATTATAAAAAGGTATTGAAAAATTGTAATAGTAACAGATGTGAAAGAACCAACTATAATGACATTATGTGGTTTACATAAAAATTCTATTCTTCTAAATTATACTAATCCTATTCAAAATATTCTATAATCATTCATCACAACATATAGTGATTTAACAAGTGAAAATTTTGGAAGTTCCAGAAGATAGATATATGGAAAATGCGCAAATTGCAATCAACATAACACGTTGCTATCTTGATGTCAAACATATGATTCTTAAAAAAACACAAGGATGAATATATAAAAATAAGGATATTAATAATTGTATCGAGGAATTTCAACTAAAGCTACAAAATACAATGATCTTATCAAATAAATAGATTCCTTTCAATAGATTAGATAATATTCAAAAGATTGGCATTAGATTTTAGACCTCATTATATAACTATAAACAACAATATACATATGCAAGAAGAAAAAGCATATATGGTCATGCACATTGATATAATTATAAATATTTTTAAAGTATTATAAATTTATATTATTTTATTATGTGTAGCTTCTTTAATTAATATATAAATTCTACTAATAAAATTTTTGAGCACCATAGCTATAAAGAAATTTGAGCCTACAATAATTCAAACAATAATCAAAAAATTGGAAATTGGTCTCATTTTTTAATTGTAAAAAATGTATTTTTCATTTGAATAAATAAAACAAAACAAAAAAATGTATAATTTAACGTAAATAATTTTAAAATTCAAGCATCAAAAACTTTATCAGCAAACAATAATTTTAGTCGTACCGGTTTATATAAAAATCATGTGATTTTCATATAGACCGGTGGAAAAAAAGCACGGGTTGTTACATAGTACCCATGGGATAAAATCAATTATACCTTGGTCACTATATCAAGATCGCAGGGCATAAATCAGTTATGTCCTGGCTTATACCCAACTGCCCAGGAAATAACTATTACATATTGTTCCCCTCCCTCGCGTAAAATGTTGACGTTAACCAACTAATTAACTTTGAGCGGCCTATAGATAATATACATATATAAAGTGCTAACAACTTGACATCGTGGTCCTAACCCTAATATCAATAAAGAATTTTGTTAACTGCAAATCTGCACCGCAAACCTGGCACGTGCTATCACGTGTATTATATGTAGAACAATAAGGAATAGAATGGTAACAATTTAAAAACGATATAGTAACTAAACGCTAATAATTGTCAAGATCTACACCCGATTCTAATTTCTAGAACAGTTGTTGCAAAGATGGTTAAAAAGAAAAGTGGAAGGACTCTTAACCCCGCTGATGCTCATCGTATGAATTTTATTATTTTTGATCGCATTTAGTTCGATTTTTAAAGTTGTAGTTAATTGTAATCATTGATCATTACAGGCAAAGCGATGCGTCAAAAAGAAATCAAAAAGGTTTACAATTTAACAAACAGTTTTACGGTAAATACTTAACAAACTATGAAGCTAATTGAAATTTTGGGTTATTTAGAATAAAATGGAAAGAAAGAGAGTAAGAACTCTCGTTATGGTACATAAAGATACATCAAAACTTGAAGAAGAAATAGCACGATATAAAGCACTTGGTTAGTTTTTTTTTCTACACATATTTATATGATCTATCAAATTTGATTTTGTTTTTTATTTAAATAATCATAATTTTATTCTAAAAATAGCGTATAACTTGCTATTTCATTAGATAAAGAAAAAAGACTTGATAAAAATGGTAAAGCCAAATTAAAAGATTTAGAGGATAAACTTTCAAAAATATTGGATACGAAAAAGGTAAAGTTTCTAGAAGAAAAAAATATATATATTTCAACTTTTTTATCCTACTATCTTAATGCTAATTTTATTGATCTTTGTAATTGATAATAGGCTCATGGCATTAGTGTACACAGGTATGTATTCAAAAGACATTGTTATAGTATTATAGAGGATGGTTGATAATACTTTAATGGGTATATAGGGAAAAACCAAAAGATCATATCCCTGTATACTTTCATCCAACATTAAATCCTTCCGGAGCGTTACCGCCAAGTACCAGTAAGAGTAGCGGTAAGTTGATTTTGTTATTCGTTAAAATTAAAATTAAAATTAGGAATAGTATTACTAGGATTAAATTTATTTATTCACATATTAATTATGTTATTACAGCACAAGATGATGAAGAAAGTTCAGGAAATGAAGACAGCGATAATGAATATTCTGATGATGATAGATCGTCCGAGGGATCTGAAAAACGTATGTACAATTTTTTTTATACTTTAATAATAATAAATTTTAAAAAATTTATCAAATATATTTTTAATTTTATATTTATATTTATTAGGAAATAAACAAGAATCTGATGAAGATATTCCACTTCCTCCTGGTAAACCACCTTCAAACGAATCAGATGATGAATTACCAGAATTACCACCTGGAACACCACCAAAGCAAGATGATTCTGATGAAGATTTACCAGAATTACCTCCTGGTCTGCCGCCCTCATTACAAAATAATGATAGCAACACTCAATCTTTGGGAATATCGAGATCGCCACCTTTTGGATTTAGACCACTGAGTATGCCTGCAGGTCCACAATATCCACCTCCGCAAAGTACTTACATGATGTTTAATAGCCCGCCTGGATCATCGAATCATCTAAGGCCGCCGCCTAACATTAGACCACCACCACCACCCGTGTTCCCCTCTGGAGCTGGTATGTAAATTGCAATCATAAGATGTTTCTATTATTTGAGAGTTTTATGCAAGCTAAAAACGGGAATATATATATATATTATTTTTTTAGCTAATATATTTCCTCGGCCACCGCCAATTCCTGTGATGCAAGGGCAAGGAGCACCTTTAAGACCATTGGAATCTCGACCGCCACCTTTTAGTTCACAAGTTTCACATTATGGACCTCCACCACCACCAGTGCAAGGAATAAATAAGGTGACAAGGGATCATATGAAAAATAACTACAGCATTGATCCATTAGATGTTTATGGATCATCCCAAAGAGCATTTCCACAAAATGTCGTCACTGATAAAAGTCAAGCAATGAACGTACCATTACTTAAATCTACTACGACAGCTACACCTGTTATTCAAGCAGAACCTCAAGTACGAAATCTTCAAAAAGAATTAACTACACTTGTACCTGCTGCACTACTAAGAAAGAAAGCAGATGCTCGTAAGCCAAAAGTAGCACGACCTGTTGTGAATGCAGCACCTAATATTGATGATGGTATAGGAACATCTGCATCATCGGTAAAAAGAAAAGCATCGATATCAATTCCGTTGTTACAACAACAACAACAACAACAAACAGATTATGATGTTCAAGCACCGGAACAAACACAAACGGTAGTGAATACTCCATTACCGACGAAGAAAGCAAAGACTAAAAAGAAAGTTGACGAATATGACAAATTCATGGCTGAAATGCAAGATTTGTTATAAATTAGTTTTTTTGAGCGTTAATTATTATATAAATACATAGATAGATCCGTGGGCTTTTTTTTACTTATGGTTATTTGTATAAATTTGATATATCAAATTAAACATTATATTGTTAAATCATTGTTAACAATTTACAAATTTTAATGAATATATAAAATTCATGTATTACGATTTTTTTTTAAAAAAAGGATAATCAATAAAATGCTAGTGCATTAATGTAGTAACACAACGAGATCATTAATTAAGAATTTTTTACACATCAACTATTTTTATTAATTTATAAATTTACATGTAAATAGGTAATGATAATATTTCAATTTTTAATACAACATCCCAGATAAAAAGGCTAAAATACAAGCCAAAATAGTACCATAAATCACCATGAAATTATTAACATTTTTAGTACCCGATGATACTTTCGGGGATGATGAGGAGGAGCTGCCACCAGTTGGACTACCATCACCACTACTACTACCACCAGTAGGTGATGCAGGTGCGGCTGATCCTGAAGGAGTTGAACCACTACCACTAATCAGAATAACACCCCACATACCATTTGCACAATGGTTGCCTACGCTACACATGTAGTAATAAAAACCAGAGGTTTTGTTGACCGTGACTGAATAGGATGATGGGCTCACCGTTGATTGGACTAAGCAAATGAGAAAAAAAAAATTAATTTGGGGAAATGATTGAATGAAACGATGAAAAGAGGTTTTTTTGAATAAAATATAACGTAAGTGATACGTATTCTAAATCAAATGATTTAAGATATCACGAATATTCACGGTTGGAGATATTCATTCGGTTACACATGATATAATTGATTCGTTTATATTCATGAATATTTGCGCGTGAATATTCATGGTTACAATAATAGACGGATATCCATTCAAAATCTGAATATTCATTCAATGCTATTCGTAAACATCAAAATCCGCGAATATTTACTGAATAGCCATGATGGATATTCAAAGGATCCAATCTCTACTTCATCCAACAATTTTATTTTTTTTTTAAAAAAAAAGGAATTTACGTACAGGCACTAGAATCAGTAGATTTTGAGCAAGAACCAGCTGAATCTGTTTGAACAACGTCGTGATCGCCACCAGCCCAGTTCCAAGTTATCTGTTATTACAAAGAGCAGTAATGATTAAAATTCAAACATCAATTTTATTTAATTTCAATTATAAAACGCGAAATAAAATCGAATTACACACCGTATCACCCGGGCTAGCAGTAACATTTTGAGGGGTGAAAATATCTCCTGGACCAACTGTTACCGTATGAGTGGTTGCGGCGTATGTTGATAAAGGTATAAAGAAACAAGATACTAAGATGCACATCATCAACATTGTAGTTGCGGATTTGTAATTATACATTATGAATTTATTAATTGTTTTATTATATATTTCAGTATTTATAAAAAATCAACAATTGATAAAAAAAAAAAAAAGCGTATGAAAAGTTTGGACATTTATATTTTTTTTTTCGACTTAAATGTGATATTCTAGAAAGAAAATTCTATTATGAAATATCTTATTATCAGAGCTAAAAATAACCTGGAAATCGAACAATATGGTAATAATATACTTTTTTACCTTTATCGTTATGAAAAAAAAAAAAAACTTTTTAAGATAACGTTTTTACCATTAATGCTGTAATGCCTGACACTAACTATTAATGCTGTAATGCTATAATGCTTGGCGCTATGGTGTATCACTCCTGTTTGCTAAAAAAAAAATACGTATTAATAAACTGATATATCAGGAAAGTGTTTACAGCGTTGAATTAAGTCCGAATGTGTAAAAGTACATAAGTAACTGTACCGGTACAGTACAGTACTTACGTACTTGTACGTGTTTGGTAAGTACTAATTTTTCAAATAATTCATTGTCCCACGCGTTAACTGCAAATCCACATTATGTATGTTCATGTACTTTGCATATGTCAATGCAATTACTATCGTTTGAAAAAAGATTTATTCAAAAAACTTTATTAAAATTCATTTAACCATTTAAAAATAGAAAATTTTTTTTTTGGATATATATTTTTATAAAATATAAAAGATATGGATAAAAATAATGTACGTATGTATGTATCTTATAAATTTGTATAAGCAATTGACAATAATGACGTGAAAATCAGTGAAACTATTTTTGTTTTATGTACAGTATAACGATAATCAGTAATTTAATGCCAAGAGGAGTAAAAAAAAAACAAATAAAATTCCGTTCAGCCGTACAATAGCCAAATAGCCTCGGTCATACGAAAACAATTTTATAAAAATGGAAATATTAATTCATCACACAACATTATTCTTTTAAAAACGAAAATTCATAAAAGAACAATAAAATCCAATTTTAGATATGACTTATAAAATTTTACTAACGCTAATCTTTTTTATTACCGTTATAGTTGTTAAGGTTCATAGGTTTTTCCTTAAAGCTTAAGACTATACCGGTATATTTTGTCCGTCCGGTAAATAACTGTCAAAAACGTTGAAAGAAGAACAAGTATAAAAATTAACCCGATTTTATTATATAAAAAAAGTATATATACAATATTTATAATATATATATACGTATAAATTACATCCATTCAATATAAACAATATCCATTCAATATAAACAATATCCATTCAATATAAAAAATATCCATTCAATATAAACAACTATTCATTAAATGATAAATAACGAATTAAAAAATTCTTCCAATCAAGAAGTTCTTGCCTTAATTGATCAATCTCTTTCTTGATACTTTCAACTTCAACAATACGACTAGGATCATTAAGTTGATCAGAATTTGTTGATTGATTAACATTTCCCCCAATACCAGGACTTGCACCTGATTCTATCAAAGAACTTCTCGTTTCATCAAGTCTCCCTGGTCCAAAACCTTTAAAAGGATAATCTGTGTTACGTTGAATACCATCGGAGTCATCTTCAGACATTTTCGTAAAACCTTTATTACTTAATTTTATAGCAACCGATTGTGGTTTTTCAATATGATCTAAAATGATAGCATTACTATATAGGCCGTAACCATTACTAAAATGGTTAATTCTTGGAATTGAACGAAATATATATTTTTGAAATAATCCAAACGGATTTAACCGATTGTCACCCCATAAAAGTTTATATATTAAAAAAAGCATGCCAATACATCCTCCAAATGTTGGTAGTAGATCATATATTGTAAAATATTCTCGTTCTCGACTAACAGTAACTTCGTATCCACCAAGAGTTGGTTCATAGTCAGGCCTAATAATTTTTTTTAAAAAAATATATATAGTTAATTATAATGTATATATTAATATACGTATATATTAAATACGTATCAGATATACATATATATATATTATATATATATAACGTATATCAGATATATAATAATATATATATATATATAATAATAATATATATATATATATATATATATATATATGATTTATATATATCTATATATAAATATGTCTAATATTAAATTTAATTTACCTAATATGAATTTCTCCCCATTTCTTTGTGTCATTAGTGAAAACTGGTAATGCCCTCCTTGCAGGAGATACATCATACGTAATTTGAAGTTTTCCATCCTTTATTCATCATATAATATCATAATAGGAAAAAATGAATCGTTAAAAAAATAATTAATTTTAGATATTCAAAATACATATCATTCAACTTTACATACCAATCTATATAATTCTTTTCGTGAAAAACTGAATAACGTTTCGCTTGGCAAATTAAAGAAATCAGGTCGAACCAAATATGGATCTTGTCCCATCCATGGCCAAAAGATTCCGAATTGAACTAATTATAAAAAAAGAATAATTATTATTTTTTTTTCTGTTAGTCAAAAAAGTTTATACATAACGATTATGAAGGAATTCAAATAATTTCTTTTTTAGATACATGATACTGATCAAAAATGTAATTATAAAGTGTAACAAATTTGTGTCTTCTATGAAAGTTTCATTTTGCGTTAATGCGACGCAAGACACAATGGTGGATGTCACTATTTAACGTCATCTGATATTTAAAAATGTGACATAATTTCACAATCGACAGCCAATTTTGCTTTAAATGCAAAATCATAGTGCCATGTGAAACCTAACGCATTATAAATCAAAGTTTGAAAAGATAATCTAATTCAAATAAAAATGTTGATGTGACGCACGTATTCACAAGTTTTTATCCACAAAAAATTTAACAGAAATAATATATACCCCATCGACGGGTTGAAGTAATTGAAGTAGTGGATTCGTTAGAATATAGATGAATAGTCATCTCTTCCGTCATGTTTGGTGAAAACATTGCCGTAAATGGAGGTGCAAGTATATAGCAATTTTTTGCATTTGGAAGCCATGCTGATTAAAAAAAAATTGCATAACGTTATAAAGATAAATAAAGATAAATAAAGATAAGTATGTTTACCAACCATTTGGTCAAACATTTGGACAACCATTTGGACAAAACATGTAATTCATACCACCTTCTCCAACTGTGTCTGGGAAAATAAATTTGAATTGTTCAATGGGTCTTTGGGTCCACCAATGATTATCACATTCATTCCCTTTGGTGCCCGTTAATCCCAAATAACATTTTGGTTGAACATTCATATTTGGTCCACAAATAACTATACCAGGCATATATAATCTTTCACGAACTTCAAATTTAGTTTCGATAAGTGGATAATACTTTGCTAATATTACTTTACGAATATCATAAACCATAAATGTCACAAAAATTAAAATAAACACAAGAATTGTTGAACATCTTGCGATATGTTCAAATTTGATATTAGATGAATATGAGGATATATTATAGAACCGATTTGTTAGACCCATTATGTTTCTTGAAATCGAAATTTTAATAAAGAATAAAAATATATGCAAAAAAAAAAAAAAGAATTTTTTTTTTGCAATTTGAAAGGTCTGATACATTAAGTAAAAAAAAATTTTTGATATTTATCTCGAAGCAAAAAATGATGATTTAGTGAGAATCAATCAATGATATTGATCTTAACATCGATAATATTGATTTGATGTATGAATAATTTGAATAATATAATTTGATCGTATTATCAGTTATCAGCATTAAATTTCTAACGTAATGTATCGGTTATATGTATCGGTTATACGTAAGACTGTAACTACCAGACACGAAATACAGTATCTCTTTTTCTCAAATTATCTAATATTTTAATACTATAATATCCATTAAATTCATTAAATTTAAAAAATGAATCCCAAAAATTTATACATCGTTTATTATTCAATTTTCGGATTCAGATGATTTTAATAAAATTCGAATTGTAAATGAATCAGTAAGATGATTTGTATGTATCATTAAATCCTCAATCTCAAATTTTGAAGAATAGGGATACCATGATACAATTTAATGGAAGAATAAATTTTGTATTAAGGTTAGGATCGGATCAGAATATAGAATGATTCGGTGTCACTTAAAGGAGGTTTATTTGAAGTTAACTGTTAATAAAAAGTACGTACTACATACTGTCGCTATACACCATAATACAATAGCTATATCTGTATAATAGTATGCGTGTACATACGTATCTGATATGCTGTACATCAAATTAATGCAGCCAATACCTTATTCCTTACCTTCATTTAAAACTTGATTTGCCGCAACTTTAATTTGACGTACAATATATATACATAATATTATAGATATGTGTAGTTCGAGTTGGAATCATCCCGATTTAGAATTGGATTTTAAATTCTGTCTTTAACAAAAATCGCGCACTTTACGTATATAAATAATCAGGGATTTATCAAATAGCCAAATTTAGAATTTCAATGTTGGTTAGATTAGAGTTAAGATTTACAAAAAAAGATACAATGTATATTTATAACTATATTCATAACGTGATCCGGTACTGGCTTTTAAATTTACTGTATTTTCAAAAAATTTATATATATAAAAAACATTTAAAAGTTTTTTATAAACCCAATTTATGGTCTAATTCACATCAAATTTTCTAATTTGAAATATAGTAAAAAATTATTTTTATAAATAGAATTAGCAAACCAATTATAAAAATAGCTCTTTTATTAAAACGTACCTATGGTGTTTTATACTACCTACGCATACATTATGCCATAATTTAATCTTATTATATAGAATAATTAAAGCATAATTATTAATTAATAAAAGCGCGAAACAACGTTCATGGCTCTTAAAATAACTTATATGGGTGTCCTGAATTACCGCAATAATATAGTGGATTCAAAAAATTAACATTTCATAATACCGCACATGGGACAGCCGAAATAGCACACAAGATTAATTACGTGTAATTAATGCACAGGTGGGCGTTATCTCATGTTTATGCGGTATTTTCTTTTTGATATATTGATTAAAACATAATTACTATCTGTAATAAATCAAATTAATACGTAGAGGCTTGCATGAATCGGTCCAAAATTATAAAATTAGTAAATTGCAAGCCGAATATGTCAAAAAACATAGTAAAGGCGGGTTAAACTTTTAAACCACGGTAAATTTTATTTTGCGAGCCGAACAGTCTAGCAAAAATATAATTTTATAAAGCCCATACAAATTAATAAAATTTAATATGCAAATGTTATAAATAATTATTATCAAATTATTTATTATTTATTATTAGTAAAGCTTTATTTTTTATTACTATATAGTATACTTTACTATAATAGTAATTTTATTTTTTTTATTAGCCAAAAAGTTTACTATTAATAATTGCTAATTAACTTCTTTTTAAATTGTTTTACACACTGCAATAATTGGCTAATATAATTAAAAGTCTGTATTAATCAATTTACATATTAAACATAGCATATTAATATTATAAAATTACAAAACTATAAATACTTGATTTTTAAAAACTTAACAGAATATAATTTTAATTTTATTGTTTACATTCTTTTAAACAATTTGTTGATTTTTTTTTAAAAAAAAAAAACTCAAAGTAGTATTAATAACAAGCTATGTAGTTACAGTCTGACCACTTTAAATGCAATTCGTTGGGACTGAGCTTTTGATAACATGCATTTAGAGAACAATAAAAGTTTGAGATTGCATTTAGAAAGGTATTGCATTTAAGGGGGCTGCATTTAAGGGGTTGCATTTAGGGAGGTCTCACTGTATATGGTTATTTAATAGTCCAAATGTTCGTGCCTAATTTTTATTTTACTTTTTTAAATCATTTCATTTTTATAAAATTTAATAACCCGAGTAACTCAATTAACCCCTAATACTGATACTAACTAAAGCTTAAATCTCCTATAGAAAATATTCATATATAATTTGCCATTGACTTTGTTGACAGTATCATTTTTCTAATATTTACTATTCATATCAACTTAATAAAGATAAGCCCAATTTAACGCTTAAGGTATTTTAAAGTACTGTAAATACTACATCTAATTTCTTTTATTTTATGTTGATTATACAAATGAGGTATTTAGAATAGCCTACCATATTTGCGTTATTCATTTTTTTTGAAATTTGTTTTTTTGACTCAAAATAATGCGCCCCCTCCCCTTAATTATACCATATTCTATTTGATTTAGTAGATGGATATCAATCAAGGTATGAAAAGAATCTATTTGAGTGAATAAAATGAACTATTTACTAACTATATTTATTTTTTTCAATTTAGTTCCGAATACATTATCAATTATGACTTAAACTACATATTTGATATTGATGACTATTTTGCACTTTGATAAATTTAAAAATTTTATGTAATAAATGGATGTTCTCCCTTTTGATTTGTAATTACTGGAGGTGCAGACATTTAGAGTTTTGGAGGTACGTAGCTACCCCAGCAAAAATATCACGGCGATAAAAAGTGCCGCAAGCCGTATAAATGCTGTATGCCGTATAAGTGTTGTATGCTATATTAATACCGTATGTCGTCATTCACTTTAATTTAGTGGGCGAATATAATGATCTATTAATCCGTGGATTAAAAAAGTGATTCATGTTTACAAACACTTATTTACTACTAACACCCTTCAGATTACCTCTCTATTCTATTATTTTAATGATATAAATATATATATAATATTTGACAACGATTAAATACCGCAAAAGTATACAATGTAACAAAGACAACACGTTTAAAACATGTTGTTTGGCATGTAATCCAACAAGTAAAAATGCGAATATTAATGATTGCATCAAAAAATTTCTGCTTAGAACCCTGGGAATGCAATTGAACGGATTTCATTCAACAAATTACTGTATAAGCGCTCGTGAGCATTATTTTGAAAATTGGATCCTTCAAAAAATAACTTATATGTTCTCGATATTAGCACTATGGGCATCCTGTTGTGATAATTGATACCACTCTCTACGTATAAGTGCACCTCACATACACTTTCCCTATAATAGTAAGTGCACATAATTTGATGAAATTATTTAACGATAACATTATCGTTATATGTAGATTATGCCCCATAAATGAATATTCTATGAATGCATTTTTACCCGAAAACGTGCAGTTATGGAAGGTTGACTGTTATTGGATTTAGAAAATTAACTATTATTTCACATGAGTGTATTCGAATTAACGCACAAGTAGGCGTTATTTCGCGCTTATACGTTAAAGAAAAATTGGCAAAAGAGGATTTGGTTATGTATATTCAGCAACTTGATTGGATGATATACGAAAATTGATTATACAAAACTATTGATTTTTTGTGTTTACTGAAATTTGATTGGGCAGCGAAATTTTCAGGGTAGTGACGCTATACGCTCACGACAGCTATCTCACGGCAATATAACTCGGGTATACTTCATAGCCGTAATGCCGTAAGTAGTCACTCTGAGAAATGTCTGCATCATTAGTTATTACAAATTCGATTTTTTTAATCTCATTTTCGAATCATTAACTTTTGAAAACTGTGTTTTGGATTATATAATCATACACTTTCAAAATGTCATCCGAAAATATGCTACTTACAGTATAGTGCTTGCAATCGACTTGACTAAGTCGATATTTAAAAATTGGCTTAGCCGGCTATGTCAGAGTCGATTATTCTAAATTCTATTTGATTAAACTTCGGAGATCTCCTCAAATTTTGTTTCATTCTTGCTCGTATTTTATATTCGTTGATTTTCTTTTCGGAAATTTTCGGATTCTACCATAAACTGGCCTAAATTTTTATATTTTTATTAATATATAATCCATATAACCTATCATAAAATCGACTAAGTCGATTTTTTGAAAAATCGGCTGACTAAGCCGGTTAAGCCGATTTTATCGACTAATGCAAAATCAACTACAAGCACTACAAGTATTTTACCTTTGAATTCATAAATAGAAGTCTTTAATTCTTACTTATTTTGATTTGAGCATAATGATTATCTGTATTACCATATCTCTCATTTAAGCTATTCAAATGCAGAAAATTAATCCGGATCTCGCTACTGATTAACAATCTCTATTATTGATCAGATATGAGGCAAATTTTTTATGCGGTGTTAGACTATCTTTCGGAATTATAATGATCATAATGAAGGCAATTCGACATATCATGATTATCTTCATGTGCGTACGAAGATAAATTGTAAATCGTAGCGAGAAATAATAAATTGAATGTAAAATAATGTGAATAAAAAGTTAGTTCTTTTACTGATCCGACAATTATTTTCCCGACATACTCATTTTCCCGACAACCATTTTCCCGAAATGACCATTTCCTAACATGAAGTTATTGTTGGA